GTTCACCTCGACACAGCAGAACCTTCTTCAGAAACAAGATTCTTCTCAGTAACAGTGAAATGGGTAACAGGAGGCCACCATTGCCATGCAAGGACCACAGCACAGGAAAGTCCTTTGGCACCTGCCTGGGACGCGCACGGCAGCTTCAGGACCCAAACATTTTCCTAGGACTGTTTCCTAGGACTGGAGACCTCGTCTCTCTCAGTCCCCAGGTCAGTGAAATGGTAGGCCCAGCCTGTGTCATCTGATGCCTCAGCAGAGGCTGTTCCACTGGGGACAAGGAAATGCCTGGTGCTGAACCTTAGCCCCTTCTCCCCCAACCCCACACAGTGTCACCACATGGACTCCTGACAGCCACCTGCCAAGGAATGTCTGAGGACATTGTAAGATGAAATAAAAATCACAGGAAAGGAGGAAAAGAGAAAACTTGAATGAATATAGAAATAGATGTGTTGATACAGAGGATCAATTAATATCAAAAAAATATCTAAAAACAATGATTACTTGGTTTATCAATATTATAAATTTAATCTTTCAAATACCAGTCATAATTATTGGAAAATGATACATTTTTCCTACATTTATATTAAGTTAAGTCCAAGAGTTGTCTATAATATTTTCAAATTAATTAAAAAGTGTGAGTAATACAATATGACAAGATGTATTTTTTATAAAGAACAATTGAAAGATACTAACGCTGTTGCAGAAACTATAAAGTACAAATAACTAAAAATCAATGTACAGTGTATCGGAATCACATTTACTGGGAATTAGCCCCTGGGTGTGTGACTAGAGAGAAGGACCTGGTGAGCTGCGCAAACCAGCTGGACATTCAGAAATTTGATCCATGGAGATGTATGTGCCGTGTGACCAGAAGGGGGCGCTGTGGGACCACCCTGTGGTCCCTACACAGCGGCTCTGCGAGGACCACTCACCCAAAGGAGCCTGGGCCTTGGGGTAGTTCTCTGTGCTCCCTGATGAGACTCAGTAGCTGTGTCCTTTCTGGGCTGGCAGAATCCCCTGAGCAGGGACCTTTGTGTGGTGTCAGCAGGTGTTTCCTCCCAGGGCTCTCCCAGCGGGTAAAGCGAACCTCCATCCTCCTCAATCTGGGTGTGAGCTGAGCTCTAGCACCAGGGCTCAGGGAGGGGCTGGGCGGTCACTGGATGGACGCACATTTGCATGCACAGCCCCTCCTCTGGCGGAGGGTGGAGAAGAAAAGGAGGCCTGGGGCAGCCCAGCCCCACTGTGGGCTCAGGGACCGCGTGCACCATGGCCTGGATCCCTGTGCTCCTCCTGCTCCTCTCTCAGTGCACAGGTGGGGAAAGGCCTCGGAGACCCTGGGCTTCCCACAAAATTTCTGCCCTGTTGCTCAAAATCCTGAGAAATTTTCTCTGATTTCTGTGCCAATGAGCATGTTTGTCTGTGTTTGCAGGTTCCCTCTCCCAGCCTGTGCTGACTCAGCCGCCCTCCCTCTCTGCATCTCCGGGAGCAACAGCCAGACTCACCTGCACCTTGAACAGTGGCTTCAATGTTGGTGGCTACTGGATACGCTGGTACCAGCAAAAGCCAGGGAGCCCTCCACGGTATCTCCTGAGGTTCTACTCAGACACCAATAGGAACCAAGGCTCCGGGGTCCCCAGCCGCTTCTCTGGATCCAAAGACGCCTCGGCCAACGCAGGGCTTCTGCTCATCTCCAGGCTGCAGCCTGAGGACGAGGCCAACTATTACTGTGACACATGGGGTGGCAACTCTAAGACTCACACAGTGCTCCAGACCCATGGGGAAGCGAGACACAAACCTTCCTCTCACTTTCCTGGCCTGGTGCCATCACTCATGGTAGGGGATCTGACCAAGTCAAGACAGGAGGTGACTTCTTTCATAATTTCTTCTGTCAAAATTCGATTTTCTTCAGACCACTTGATCTGACAATATCACATGCTTCTTTTTAGATTAAATTTGCATTTCTCCGTTGCTAGTATATCTTCTTCCTGTTACCGTGTCCACTGGCAGTAACCCCGTGTCAGAGGTCCACAGTCCTACGTTGGGAAACCTGGTCAGTCTGGTCACCTTTTCACAGCGGAAACTTTCTTATAACGGCACAGATTTCTTCTGGATAATCAATGGAATGGTCAACAGGAGGCTGATGCCAAAGAACCCAACTCAGGATCTGACCACAAAGAACCCATGTAATTCAATTTCATGTCTTTGTCAAGAACTCAAAGCGATGATTACTCTTCCACTCTGCACCCAACCTGTGCCCGGTGGCCACCTTCCTGTCCCCTGAGTCCAAAATTTGCCTCAGACTTGTTGGGTAGGGTGACAAGGAAAGCAGAATGTGAGCACCTGTAACTTAGGAGGCCTCTGTGGCCCCCTATCAAGCTCGTGCATGTCCCTTCCTGCTCCTAGCCAGGCTTTGCTGTTTCATCCCTGAGCCATGAAATGTCAGGAAAGGCAGAGTCTCTCTCTTGAGATCACCCTCTGAGGGGATCCTGACCCCCGGGACCCGGTAGACGCCCCCCATTAAGGGCGCGACTCTCAGACCCTCAGCGGCTCACTCTCCCCACTTCAACCCGGGACTTCTCGTAGTTTTCCAACCTCTCCGGTTCTCTGTCTGGGATGAGATTTAGTAGCTGTCAGTATTTTAGACCTAATCCTTATCAATCCCACCTCCATTAAATCCACCGAGTCCTTAACAAATGAACTTGATCAAGCGCAATGCAGACTGGGAACTCACCCTGAGGATTTCTCAGGCCAGAAATGGAGGAAGAACCTCATACAGGATGAGAGTTCCATTCATAGTACTGTTCTTTTCATATCAATCCGCAGATGAGAAAAATTACAGACCTAGAGTAAAAGAAGCTTAAATATATCAGAGTCAAAATGAAAAGTCCTGTCAGGACTTTTTCAAGGGCACCTGAGAACCTATAGAAGTGATTAAGGAAAAAGACATATTTTCCTTGAGGACATTTTGCTCTCATTGCAAAGGCACATGTAATGTGAGTGGGAACCTGTCAGGTGCCCTTTAAGATGACAACAAAAACAACAACAACCGCCACCAAATAGTTATACCCATAAGGGTCATCCAAGGAGTTTATGACCAGGTATGAGCTAGCGGGGTTCCTGGGGAACTGTAAGCCTGGCTCTTGGTTCAAGGTCACCATATGCTCGTAATGACTCGGGGTCAAGGCAGAAGCAAAATCAAGTATCAGGAAATTCTGAAACATCTGGTAACAGATGCATCCACTTATCTGTCTGGAGGTCGTTAGGGACCTGGAAACTTCATGTCTTCACCCCAGACTGCACACGGTGGTGCTTCTCCTTCTACTGACTGGGAAGCAACATGAGGAAGATGCACCTGCAGAAATCAGAAGCCCTTCCAGGAGAGCCAGGTGGATGGAGTGGGCTGAGGACTGAGTTTGGAGACCAGCAGCGGGCGCAGGTGGACCTGTCCTGAGTGCTCAGGGTCTGGGCCAGGCAGGCTGGGAGAATGATCCACTGGCTCTTGCACACTTGAGCAGGCACTGTCCCCGCCGAAGTGTGACTTTCCTGAACCTGGGCCACCAGGAGCCACATGAGCACTTGGCTCTGACACACACATTTGCCTCATGTGTCATCCTCCTCTCATGAAGTCACTGTCCAGACCTGATTTACAGGCGAAGGTCGATGGACAATCGCACAACGGAAATAAATTTGCTTGAGAAACTTGACCTACAGCGCTGCCTAGGTACATGATAGGAGACATCTGGGGAGGGGGTGTCTCAATGCCAATAATTAGGCCTCAGCAAGCAGAGCTCTGAGGCTCCTCCCCCATGGCCTGAATTCCCCTCTCCTCTTCACTCATTAGACAGGAGATTTCTTAAAGGACAGGGAAAGGATATTGGGGAGGAAGGGCATTTGCATGGCCTTTTGCTCCTGGCATCTGGGCACAGGTGGTTGTTATCTATTCTCTACCACATTCTGATTTCCAACCGAAGTCCTGGGTCAGAGGGTGCTGGCTCTGTCATCATCAGTGCCTAAGGCTTTGGTTAAAAAATGATTTAAAATATATATGATATTACCAAACATGTAGCCTGAACTTCTTTCCTCATTTTAGAAAATCCATGGAATGCAACCCAACAAGAACAGTATCCAATTTGAAAATTACAATTAGATCTCATTTATGATCATAACCATCATTGCACAAATGACTCAACATAAGAGCAAGAAGATTCCATTGTTTCAGAAGAAAATTTCACCTTGGCCCCAGTGAGGATTTGGGCTGAGGGTAGGCTATGT